GGATCTCGCTGCAAGGGCCACAGGGGCCTGTGTCACCCATCTCCCAGAAGTTATCCTTCATATTGCCAGGCAGAATCCTGCTCTCAGCCAGCCTGTAACAAGAGGCTCCTACTGAACAAGAGACTTACAGCAAGGCAGGAGGTCGCCCAACTGTGAGGGAGTCTCAACAGAGAGCTCTCAGCCCACTCCTTCTCTGGATCAGCCTGCCTCTGACAATTCAAGAATCTAACTTTTAAGGTTTAACCTCCCCTCTGAGGAGTACTGGCTGGAAGGCAGACATGGACACAGCACCCCACCAAAGCTGCCACTGAGAACACGGGTGCATCTCTGACATCAACACAAGCAAGAGTAGGACTGGAGAGGACAAGACTGAGTGGGAAACCGAGGGTTAGAGAGAGCTCAAAACAGAATCAGACTGAGGCTGAAGGAGCACATCCCCATGCAGAGACCAAGGGGAAGGGATGAATGACCTGCTAACATACTTGATCCACTGGCTGCGAGTGCTGGGAGGAGAAGAAAAGCGAACAGATCACAACCAGGTTTGCCTGCTTTCCCTGAACAGCATCTTAACTGCTGTCACACAGACATCGATCTGACACAGCAGGGCACTGCTTATGTTCTTAAGCTCATAAAGGAGACTTTGCAAAGAAGACTCCAGGGCTTGACCTGAGTCTCAGCCTCTTCCATCTAATATCAGTGCTTCCTCGTGGCTTTGCAGCTCTACCACCCTGCAAACATTATTGGGGATGCTTCTGTTTTTCAAAACCTCCTGCTGTAAGTGCTCTGCCTCAGCACACGGCGTCTTTCTCTGATGAAAGGCAGATGGCAGCTGTTCATCAAAACACAAAGCTTTCTCAGTTAAAGGCCCTCACCCCAAATCCAGCCAGATCTGCTTGCACTCCAGGTCTGGCTGCAGTCCTGCAGCCTCATTTCCACCAAAGTAAGTGACATAGAGTCTCTCTGCAGGGATGCCAAACTCCTTGGTGAGGAGGTCCAGTGCCAGTTTACATGCAAGTTCCTGCAGAAGGAAAGAGGAGCTGAGTACGTGAGTGCAAACAGGCCTTCTCTTCAGCATGCAGTACCTGCTCAGCTGGAGTACTGGCTGACTAGGATCTACCCAGAGTATCATTCAAACATGCAGAAACCTTCCACACACAGTCTTTCCTGGGGTCCTCCTGTACTACCAGCCCTAACTGGACCAGGACAGCTATAAACAATCCAGAGCTTTCAGACCTTTGGCATAAGAAATAAGAAAACCAGTACATGTAGCAAACACGTCACACAACACACCTTACATAGTTTTGTAGGTGAAGTCAAGTTAAAGCCTATAATCCTCAGCAAAAACATAAAAAAACCTTTGAAATGTGCTGATAATGCTGCATTCTTCATAATCCCTTCACAATATGAATCTCACTCAAGCAAGAAGCTTTTGAATATTGTTATTTTATGACCACAGCTCCAGGACAGCCACTAAAACTTCTACCTGAAGACTTCAAACTGCCATCATTAATACAACATAATCAGTTTTGTAAATCTTCAGTAATTTATCACAAAATGCTCTGCAGAGCTGGGGGAGCCAAGTGTACCTTAGGAACCCCTGTGTGCCAGAACAGCCTCCTTCCCCTTGGCAAACACTCCGCTGAGCTCACAGAGATGTGAAACACAGAGATGTGTTTCAGCTCAGCCTGTTTTACCTTGAAATAATCCCCAAAGGACCAGGAGCCCAACATCTCGAAGAAAGTGTGGTGGTAGACATCCTTCCCCACATCGTCCAGGTCGTTGTGCTTGCCCCCAGCTCGGATGCACTTCTGAGTGTTGGTGGCTCTGCTCAGCTTAGCAAGCGGGTGCGAGGGGTCGATGGTGTTGAGGAAGATGGGTTTGAACTGAGGGCAAAGAAAAAAGAGGAATTGAGGAAAGCACTCAGGGCCTGGTTTTAGATGTTAAAAGCAACGGCAAGGCGTTGAGTATCTTCTGCATCATGGCACTGCCGGCCTGGATGTCTCAGAGACAGCCTTCAGTCTGCTGCATGCGAGGAGGATGCAGCACCCAGCACACGTGGTTGGAGCACAGCAAGCCCCAGAACTTCCAAAGGGACTGAAAACAGACAGATTCCCAATTGCCAAAAAGACGAGGAAAACTCCAGAAAAACCACTCCAGCAGCCTAGCTCCAACTGCTCCCTAGAGATGCTGGTGGTCATTTGTGCCAGCATTCTCTCTGCAACTATTTGCAGCGCTAGCTGTGCTCCAAAGGGTCAAGGAGGGCAGACTGGCAGCGCTCCCATCTCTGCACTGTCAGCCCTGGAGGCACAGAAACCTCTCCTGCCAACTCTGCAATAGCACTCCTGCGGATGCAACAGTCACCTCTTTGTGACCAGAGATGGAGAACACAATGCTAATTTCCCACACAAGCAGCAGAAGGCTCTGCTAGTTACTTGGTGTTTGAGAACACTTCAGGCTGCAAGCAGCCAAATGCAAACCTCATTTCAGTGAAACCAGAGCAATGGGAAACCAGCTCTGCTCGGGGAGCAGGCACTGATGGGTGAAGGGAGAACTGAACCTCCTGCAAGGTGAACTCAAGCACAGCTGGAAAGAAGTCAGCTAAGAAAAGATGGGTAAACGCACTGAGGTTTTAAACTCTGCTTCACAGCACCACAGTTTGAATTGGAAGAGGCCATTAAAGGCCATCCAGTCCAACCCCACTGCAATGAATGGGGACACCTGCAGCTCACCACGTTGCTCATTTGTTGTTTTACAAACAATCGATGACCTCTGTCGTTTATTAGGAAGGAACCGGCAACTCCAAAGGCTCTGCAAACAGCTCCCTGGTGCAGCTGCAAGGAGCAGAGCCGGGATCCTACCTGGTTCATGCCGGCATTAGCGAACAGCAGCGTGGGGTCATCCAGAGGGATGGTGGAAGAGGAGTGCACGTAGGTGTGCCGGTTCTCCTTGAAGAAGTCAATGAATCGCTGCCGGATCTGGCTCGCTGTCAGCGTGGACTCCATCCCGAGGCTGCGGGTCCGAAGCAGGCAGGACGGAACTGGGCAGGGCTGGTGCAGAGCGAGGGGACGAGCGCAGGCTTTCAGACGCCACCGCCTTCATCACCCCCCACGATACCGGCCCAACCCCAGCATCCTCGAGTCGCCTTCAGGCAGCTTTTCCCCTGGCTCAGCCCCGGCAGGCCGCCAGAGCCAGGCTCCGGGCTCCGGTGTTTCCCTCGACCCCCGCGGCGCTGCCCGGCCCCGTGCCCGCGGCCCCCGCCCGACCCCGGCCTACCTCGCCGGGCACCGCCGCCCCTCGCTCCGCACACCCGGCCCGGCCGCCGCAGCACCCGCAATGCAGGGCGCCGGCCGCCGATTGGCTGCGTGAGCCGTCGCTCAGCGGAAGCCCCGCCCACCAGACGTCTCCCGGCCGAGGGGAAGGACGCGCGCTGGCTGATGCAATGGTGGGACGCGACGGTCACGTGACGCAGGCTGGGCGAAGCCGGGCTGGGAGCCGCCATTTTAAGGGCGCCGCGCTGGGCTGAATGGAGCGATTGGGATTTGGCAGCGCTTGGCCATCCAGGTTCAGCCAGGCGGGGCGCTCAAACTGATAAGCTTTCATTAAGCAGCACAGCAGTGACCCGACCTGAAGCCACCTTGGCACCCAGTAACTCCACACCACACAGCACGTTTCCCATCCTGAGTCATCGTCTTAAAATGAACCCAAGTGACTGATCAGATGAACTCAGTGCGCGTGTCATGGACGTTCAGTGGATGTTTCACGTGGGTGGCCATAGTCTGCCAGTGAACCAGGATCTGGGAGCAGGCGACCCAAGCTGAGCAGAGGGCTGTTCTATACCGTATGGCATCACGGTCAGCAATAAAATGCGGGGGAAAGAAGGGCGATGCAGACAATGATCAGATTTTTTGGACTTATCCAGATTAGTTTCGTCTCTTCCCCTCAGCATCTCCTCTGGGCACATTAGAGATCCTCCGGCCCCAGGCTTTGTATTCCCGAGCCATCAGCATGCCTGCACTGCCATCAGCCACTTCCAAAGCTCGCTCGCTGCTTGCCTTCCCCAGCTCTGCTGGCCTGCAGCCATTCCTGGTCCTTCAGCCTTTTGCTGGTGTCAGCTGTCCTCAAGGAACCTGGAAGGAAAAGAGGAAACTCCAGTCTTGTTGGTTCGTGACAGCTCTACCCCAGCTGCTGCTTTGCAGGACAGCAGCAGGAGCAGACAAGCCTGTGCAGTGCAATTGCTTGCATGGGTGATGACACCCTCCATAAAGCCTTTTATGGCTGCTCTGAGTCTAATGCCAACCAAACCCACACCCAGAATGTTTATTTCTCTCTTAGTGGCCACAGACTTCCCACCAAAAGAAGGAGCCATCACTGCTTATTCCACTCTGTGCTGTCACCTGAAAGCAAACCTTCCAAACTTACAGCGACTCCACCATCTCCCAGCTGCTGACCCAAGTATTTCTTTAATAAGTACCAGACTTACAGCTGTCCAGATATGGATGAAATAGCCAGTTCTGTCCCCTCTGGTTGAGCACCGTGTACATTTGGCCACATCCAGATGCAACAGACTCACCCCAGAGTACATCCCTGTCCAAAATTTCCTCTCCCACTTCAGTTCACTTTGCCCCTGTTCTTCAGCTCATCACTTTTTACGGCAGTTCTTTGTTTTTTTTTTAGCACGTTACTCATTTCTGCCTCCTAAAAATCCGTGTCCCCAGGCTGACTTGGGCTGCAGGAGCTTTTGCTTTGTTGCACCTACTAAACATCCAGCACTGTCCTTCCCTGGATGATGGGTGGTAGAGTGAGGATGGGGAGAAGGGTGAGGGCTGTGGGCTGGGTGCCCAGTGGATGAGGCTGTGGGCAGCTGGGGGTCTTCTCTGCTGACTCCTGGGGGAAAGCAGGCATAAAGAATGAGCTTGCTGCAACCCCACTGCTACAAGGAGGACCGGCTTGTGTCCCTTCCATTTCTTGGTTGTGTTTCCAAGCACGCTTCCAAGCTCTGAATGGATGTGATCCTTCTCCTGTGGTTGCATGGACTTGGAATCTGGGGCTTTGGAGAAGAAGTCTTGGAGAGTGGGCAATGCAAGGAGAACCATCACCCCACGACACGTGCCCACGCTGGTCCCAGGGCATCCAAGGCACCAGGGCTGCTGCTGGCACCATCACTGTCCCCATGAGCACCCAAAGCCACTCCCTGGGCTGTGCCTTTTCTCCCGTTCACGCCAAGCAGGCTGCAGTTCCACTGGGAGCAGCCTGTTTGTCACCACTGTGACTGTCTCACCCCCTTGGAGATGGCCACGCTGGCTCGGAGCATTCTGGTGACGGGGTCCAACCGGGGCATTGGGCTGGAGCTGGTGAGGCAGCTCGCCGCCAGCCCCCAACCCCCACAGCACATCTTTGCTACCTGCCGTGATGTCACTGGTCCGAGAGGGAAGGTCAGTGCATGGGGATGTCTGCCAGCCAGGGGAGTGAGGGGCATCACGGCCCCTCCTGGGTGTCTGCTGGGAGCAAGCTTGGTTGGGTGCTGTGAGGGCGAGGGGAAGGTGGGCTGTGCACATGTGGCGCCCATGACCTGGGTGCTCACACCGAGCCAATCATCCCCTTCTCCCTGCTGGGGACAGCACCGAGCCCAGCAGCCCCCCTTCACCTGACAGCTTCCCCAGCAAGAGCAAAGCCACCGCAGTCTGCTCCTTGGGGACGAGGATGGGATGGGTGGGAAGACCAGCAGTGCTGCTGGTGGCTTCTAACCCCCTGCTCCATGCCCTTGTCTCCAGGCCCTGCAAGAATTAGCGGCCCGGCACCCCAACATCAAGCTGATCCATCTAGGTATGGTGCCACCCCCCTCCTTCATAAGGCTCTGCTGCTCCTGGCCCTCCTCCCTCCTGTGCCCTCCACTCGTCTAGGGGCACAACTATGGATGTCTTTGCTAGACCTTGGTGGTGGCAGCCATGTGGCTTCAGCTTGGTGAGCTGGGATGTCTGCCAGGTGGAGTGACAAGCAGGAGAGGAGAAGACAAGGGCATGGGATAAAAGGGAGAGCTGCAGAGAATGGCACTTTGCATTGCCAAAGTTGGGGTGTTCATCTACAGGGAGTTCTGCTCCAGGCTGCCTTCCTCCACTTAAGGGAATGGTTTACTTCAAACCAATGATAGGAACACGTGTTTCAGAAATGAAAGAAATTAACTCTGAAATGCCCACTGTATCCTTTCGTTCTGCATTTCTTTCTTTCCCTTTCTAACCCCATTTTCTTCCATCTGAAAGCTGAGGATCTGGGCGTGCATTTTGCTTTGTAGGCACCATTTCAGCCATTGTGGAGAGGAGAGGAGATGTTGCCTTCAGCTAATTAGGCTGGTGTAGCAATAGGGATGTGCTCGTCACACATGCCTGGCCCCATTCTCCCTTGGAGCAATGACTCAGCCAGTCCAAACACAGACATTAATCATTCACCCAAGCCAGTGAATGACACCTGGAGTAATGGAGCTTGGAGCTCTGCTTGTACATCATCCAAAAAGAAGTCATCATAAAGCTTGTTGAGAAATATCCTTCATGAGACCAAAGAATCATGAAATCACTTGAGTTGGAAGAGACCCTAAAAGGTCATCTAGCCCAACTCCCCTGCAATGCAAGCAATGTGATGTCCCAAATATCCTCTTGAATCCCACCGCTGCATCCCCATCAGCTCCCCAATGCAATAGCGAAGGCTTTCAGTACCACCAGCAACAGCCCCAAGCTGAGCAGCACCTGAACAAGCTCAGGCTCTTGCTCCAAGGGGTCCACATGCCTCAGCACAGAGGTCAAAACCCCAAATCGCAAATAACTCCAAATTCAAGCTGGGCGTCAGAAAAAAAAATGCTGCTTCCGTAAGGTAACACTCATCTTCCAAAAATCTATGCTGCCCCATGGATACTTGACTCCCAGGTCACTCAAATGCTTTATAAGATGACTTAAGGCTTGCTTGCCACCACCATAAACCTACCAGACTACTTCAAAATGCCCCAGAAAAGGGTCATTCTGGTGCTCAAGGGAAGAACAAGTCATCTTTAGCTCTTCCCATCTTTGCTAATTCAGTCTTGTGCAAGCTTGAGAACACAAGTCAAGTGGGGGCAGAATGTTGCAAGTGGGGGCCTGGCTCCCAGATGCTCCCTGCAGCAGGCTCTGCAGAGCATGTGTGCACTGGGACTCATCCTCAGCAGCACCCACAAATGTGAATATTCATAGACCTTAAAGGCTTGTGTAGTTGTGACATAAAAATGTATTGCCAGTGTTAACGGTTGGTCTAACCAGGCTCGTTTCAGATCTGCCAGGTGTTCAGATGTCTCCTTTTAAAGAAATGAGGGACATTTCAGTGGGGCAAGCATCCATCATGCGATACAGGTCTTGACAAGCAAACCTTAAGAAAACACAGACTTAAAACATACCACTCCTATGTAGTGTAGGGGGGCTGGAGCATCTGTAGGTAAGAGAAGGATGGGAATCGCAGTCTGCAAGGAAAAGTTTCATGTTGTATCCTGGAAAGATGAATTTTAGCATGTTGGAAAATGAAAAGGTCACTCTCAACGACCCATCAGACTGGGTATCAACCAGGAAAGATCAGAATGTAAGTCAATAAGATAATGAATATTTCCCCAATACACCAGCAAGCCCTATAGCTCTTGGAGGAAGTCTCCACGAATGGCTACAGCATTCCTCCAGGCAGCACTTACAAAATAACCCCTCAAATCCATAAAGTGAATGCAGTCACATTCTTCTTTTTGCCCTGCAGACACGGTGGACTTGCCCAGCATCCGTGGAGCCGTGCAGGCTGTGGAGACTCATCTGCAGGGCCAGGGCTTGAACCTGCTCATCAACAACGCTGGCGTCGGCTCGCAGGCCACGCTGCAGTCTGTGGATGCACAGGAGATGCTCGCTGCGTTTGCAGTCAACGTGGTGGGGCCCCTGCAGGTTGCCAAGGTGTGTGTGGGCTAGGGCTGCTCCTCTGTGGCCTGTAATCATGGTGTGAGGACTTCAAGGGCAAGGCTGAAAACCAGGGTCTATATTAACAGAGCTCTAATGCGTATCTTCCTGCCAGGAATTCCTACCGCTCTTGGAGAAGGCGGCGAAGGACGCGGGGACGGAGGGGCTGAGCTGCAGCAGGGCTGCCATCATCAATGTGTCTTCCAAAGTGGGTTCCATCGGGCTGTGTCTTGGGGTGCTGGAGGCCCCCATGTACCCATACCGTGCCAGCAAGGTGAGGGGGCAGGGGGGGATTTGGGGATAGTCCCCCACGGACCTGCTCCAGGCATCCCTTGCCTGGTCCTGCAAGCATGAGCACTCAGAGCACCAGCCTGAGCCGTGCCCATGCTATCTGACTCTTCCAGGCTGCCCAGAACATGGTGACCAGGTGCCTGGCTGCAGAGCTCAGGGACAAGGGGATCTTGTGTGCAGCGATCCATCCTGGCTGGGTGAAGACCGACATGGGGACGGAGCAGGTATGCTGCTGTGCAGGAAACACAAGGAACGGGTGCTGTGTCCCTGCTGCTTGGTGAAGCTGCAGCCAAGGGAATGCTCTGAGGTCTGCAGCTGTGTGTGTGGAGGTAGAGGCTCTGCAGCTGCTTGGGGCTGGCAGGGGACACTGGCTGCCAGCCCTGTCCCTCACACGGAGAGCAGAGGACTGGCAAGAAGGAAGAATATCTCTATAGGCAGCCAGCCCCATTCAAGTTGGGACAAAAGGGCGCAGCAGCTTCCATGCACCCTCTAGCCTGGTCAGACCCTGCAGCTCGTCCTGCCCATCACAGCTGTGGCAGTGATCCTGTTCCTTGTCCTCTTCCACAGGCACCCATGACAGTGGAGCGCAGCATGCAGGGCATTCTGGAGGTGCTGAGCATCCTTTCACAGGAGACCTGTGGGGCCTTCCTTGACTGGGAAGGGAACCGCCTGCCCTGGTGATGCCAGCTCAGCACAACCATGTCACTCTTCCCTACTCACGGACAAGGGCAGAAGCTTCTCCCCATTCCCCACCTCACGTGCAGCCACTCGGTGCCCTGCATCCCAACTTTGCATCACCCTATGCCCCCTCCTCCCCCCACCTCAGCCCTCATAAGGAACCCTTGCTGGACAGACCCTATACCCCCACCTTGCCTGTGCTGCTCCCATCTCCAGGCAGCTCACCTCCTCAAAGACAGGTATTGGCCCCTAATCCTGGCCTTTCTGGAGGGAATGTTTCCAGCAGTGACATCTGTCAATTGAGGGGACACCTGGCAGTGGCTGTGGTTGGGAACAGTGGGCTCTGATGCACACAGATGAGGGGTGGGACCCCCTGGGAAGGGGCCTTCCTCCATGGGGTTCCACAGAGCCTGTTGTGCTCACAGATAGAGCCAAGAGCATTGCTGTTGTCAGATATGGGTTTATTGAAGACTTAGCAGAGATCAGGCAGCAGCAGAGAGGCCACTGCCAGGATCCAGGCACGAGGCCGGGCCAGCACCTCACCAGGCCACAACGTTCCCTTCCCAGTCCAGGAAGGACCCGCTGTCCTTCTCCGAGAGCTTGGAGAGCACCTTCAGCATCCCTGCTGCGCTCGCGTCCACCGTCAGCGGGGGCTGCAGGGCAGAGGGAGAAACGCAGGCGTGTGTGCCCAAGGGCTGCCCAGGCTGTGCCCTGGAGCCCGGCTGCGGGAAGGCAGCGGCCGGGCTGAGGGGGAAGCAGAGCCCTGGGAGGAGGGTGAGAGCTGGGAAGGCGGGCGGTGGGGCTGCCAGGAGCCGGGGCTGGCGCTGCGCAGGGGTCCCAGGGCAGGGAGAGCTGCCATGGTGCTGACGGAGCAGCCCCCTGAGGGGGTCTTGGTGCAGGGCTCTGGGAGACAGCAGCCTCCGTGGGAGACCAGCACAGGCTGTGGATGGGCCCAACGTGGGGAAGCTCCTACCGTGTGTCCTCCTGCGCTCCCCATGTCTGTCTGCACCCAGCCAGGATGGAAAGCGACGCAGAAGATGCCGTGTTCGCGGTACCCCATGGACTGGCACCTGGTGAGCATGTTGAGAGCAGCCTGTGGAGACAGCACAGGGATCAGGTGGGGATGAGAAGGTGCAGCATGGGGACACGTGCAGATCCCATGGCTGGGCAGGGGAGAGGAAGGATATTTTCCCTCCACAGTGTGTGGATGTGGTATGTGCCATACCTTGCTGCAGCGGTATGAGGCAACTTCCATTATATCCCAACCACTGAAAGAAGAAATGGATCCCCCAATGCTGGACATGTTGACAATGGCTGCCTTGCTACAGCTCATCCCCGAGCCCGTGCTGCCCTGGGCTGCCTTCTTCAGCAGGGGCAGGAACGCCTGTGGGGAGGGGAGATTCAGGGTTCCACACACAGGGGACAGGACCAATTCCTTCCACAGCAGCAGTGCTGGCACCAGCACCATTGGCAGCCATCTTCCTCTTTTCTCATCCCCCTCCCGCCAGGTTCCAGCTCCTTAGCACCAACCCCTGTCCCACAGCTCCTCAGAGCAGCTCAGGAGCATCAGTAAAAGAGCAGAGCAGGGCTCTGTTCCACCAGCCCCTTCCTTCTGCCACAGAGGATCTCAGGGCCTCAGAACAGGGATGTTCCTGGCGCTATGGGTGAGCACATTACCTGGCTGACCAGCAGAGGTGCAATGGTGTTGGTGGTGTACACCTCAGCCATGTCCTTCAGTGTTTCATTGTCAAGCTTGTTTGGCCTTATGATCCCAGCGTTGTTGATGAGGAGGTTCAGCCCCGAGCCCTTGAGGCGCTCCCCGACGCTGGCTGCGGCCGCCTTGATGCTGGCGGGATCGGTGACTTCTGCAGAGGCGAGGTGGGGAGGTGAGCGCCCGCTGCCCTCGGTGTCTGCCAGCAGGCACAGTGCTGGGACAGAGCCCTGCACCAGGGATGGGGGAGGACGGCGTGCTGGCAGAGCAGGGAGCCCAGGGAGGCAGCCTTGTGCTCCAGCTGTGTCACCTACCGAGCGGGACAGTGACCACGTTGGGGTGCTTGGAGACCAATTTCTGCAGCTCCTGTAGAAGACAGCTGATGTGAGCCTCGTGTCGCACTCTGAGCTGCTCAGACAACACCAGCCCTTTGCCTGCAGCCCTGGGGCACACGGTGCCAGGCAGTGGCAGCAGCTCCCTTCTTGATCCCAGGGCACCCTGTGCACACCTCATCCCATGGCCATCACACTCTGCCTCTCGTGTCCGTGGGGCCGGGGCTGCAGCTCCCTGGTGGAGACCCTCCCACATCCCCCCTCCTGCAGCAGCCCTGCTGTCCCCCACCTCAGCTCCAGCCCAGCCTCACCTGCGCTCGCTGTCCCTTGGGGTCCCGGCAGCCTGCAAAGACCCACTCAGGTGGGTTTGGCAATGCCAGCAGGTGCCGGACCAGCCCGAGGCCGATTCCCCGGTTGGCCCCAGTCACCAGAGCAGAGTGGAAGCGAACTCCAGCCATACTGCTTCGTCTGCCTCTGTGCTGACACCGCAGTGCCTCCAGGTGCCTTTTACAACTCAGTTATCTCACATTTTCCCGTGAGGGCTTGCATCTGCTCTTTGCTCCACAAAACTCTCTGCAACATGCCAGCCTCTTGGCTTTACTCCACACCCTTGATCCGGCTTTCCTGGTGGCTGTGTGACAGAAGGGGATCCCAGCGTCCTGCCCGGGCAGGGAATGCCCTGGCTGGGAGGTCTGACAGCCGACAACGCTCACCTGGTGGTGATACACACTGTCCTGAGCCCTGTGAAAAGCCACCTCTGCTCCCAAAGCTGACGCAGTACAAGCAGCAGCTTGCCTGTGCAGGCCTTGGCTGCAGTTTGGTTGCCACTTTTCATACCTCCCTCTTCTCTCATCTCATCTACCAAAACGTGAGCCTCGTGGTTTTGGCACCAGAACCACCTCTGTTCCTGCACGGAGGTGCCTCCTCCCACCTTCCCTCTTGTCCTCTGTCCCTCGGGGCTGGATCGGCAAAGCCAGACTGTGTGCAGCACCATTTTTGTGCACGACAGCCAGGAGAGGTGAGCGCCCTTCTGTCACCGTAACAGGCTGGAAAACCTGGGAACCCTCCGGAACTTCTTGGAAACCCACCAGGAGGGCCGTCTTCCCAAAGCTCAGCCCTCATAGCAGCCACAGCTGGAAGCGCAATGGAAGGCCAGCATTCCCACCCAGCACACCGCAGCCGCCCCAGCTCAGGGTGATCCCAGCGATCCTCGCTTCGTTTCTGTGCTGGGGCGGCCACGAGCCCGACTGGGATGGACCCAAATCGCAGCCGTGCTCCAGAAAAAACAGCGTGACAGCATGGCGGCGGGCGCGATGCTCCTCCCGACGCTCCCCGTGTGAGCGCGTCCCCCAGCAGCCGGCAGGGAGCAACGTGACTGAGCGCAGCACGGAGCGACCCGAGCACGGGCACGAAGGAACGGTTCAGTTCAGCGGTGCGAGCCGGAGCAGCTCCGGAGATCTGCTGCGAACGGGGACTCGGAGAGCGCCGAGCGCGCTGCTCACAATAAACTCGGCTGCGTTCCAACACCGCCGTCCTCTCCCCATCCCCAGCCCCGCAAACCACGAGGCGGCTCCGGCCCCACGGAACGCCGCCCCGCCCCGGATGCTGCCGCCCGGCTGCGCTTCCCCTTCCCGGGCCGCGGGCGGCCATGGCGGCGGTGTGCAGTGCTGGAGGGGCGGGAGCGGCGGAGCGGGCGGCCGAGGGCGGGTGAGGCGGCGGCGGCGGCGGGGGGAGCCGGGCTGCCCTGCCGGGCTTCGGCTGTCAAAACGGGGCCCTTCCTCTCGCCCCGCCAGGTTGCTGTACGGCAATAGGAATCTCTCCGCTCCCGGTCTCTACGTCCTGCAGCCGTGGATCGTCGGCTTGCTGCTGAACCACGAGCAGCCCGACGGGAAGAAGTGGCTGACGGGGCAGGTGCTGCGGGTGGGTATCCGTGCGGGGGAGCGGCCTGCCGCGAGGCACGGGGTTCTGGTGGCCGGCGGCGTGCCTTCACAGCGCCGGGAGCCTGCTGTGCCATGGGCTGCATCCAGAAGCGGCCTTCGGTTCCCAAAGGGGCCGGAAGAAGGAAGGGGACAGGTTTTGTAGTAGGGGCTGCTGTGGTAGGACGAGGAGAAATGGGTTGGAGCTGAAGGAGGGGAGGTTTAGCGTGGATGTAAGGAGGTGTGGGCTGCCCAGAGCGGTGGGGGATGCCCATTGCCTGCAGGCACCCAAAATCAGGCTGCGTGGGGCTCTGGGCTCGTGATCCAGTGTCTGTCTGTTCACACAATCACAGAACGGCCCAGGTTGGAAGGGACCTCGAGGATCACGAAGCTCCAACCCCCTGCCACATGCAGGACCACCAACCTCCACATTTCACAGCAGCCCAGGCTGCCCAGGGCCCCATCCAACCTGGCCTTGAACACCTCCAGGGATGGATGGGGCATCACAGCCTCTCTGGGCAGCTGTTCCAGCACCTCACCACTCTCATAGTACAGAACTTCCCCCTGACATCCAAACTCAATCTTCCCTCCCTCAACTTCAAACCATTTCCCCTTGTCCTGCTGTTATCTGCCCTTTTAAAGAGTTGTTCATTGCCGTGGAGCCAGAAGGGATCTTTAAATTATCCAGTCACGCAGCTCAAACGATTCTATGATGGGCAGCCTGAAGGGAGAAAGAGGAAATCAGCTGGGCCGAGTCCATACTCCTGGCTCCTTTCATGCTCTCTGCTAGCCCTGGTGTCCCCTTGCCACCCAGCAGCAGCTCGGTTTGGCTGGGGAGGAAGGGTGAGAGCTGGCTGTGAGCGCTGCTTATGGATGGTTGCTCCTCTCTGCTTCAGAGCCAGCATTGTGGAGAACTGTGGGCTAAACTGTCGTTAGCTGTGCGCTGAGGGCTCAGATCATCACATAACTACGAGTTATACAAGTGAATAATTCAGTTATGTTAAAACATAGCTGGGTTTCTACGTGGAGCTCTCTGATGCATCACAGACCCTCATGTGGTGTGGCCGGTGTGATTTGGAGACAGAGGATGAAGAAGCTGTGAGATGCTCACTGAGTGTGAGATCTGCAGGCAGGGCACTCGGTTGTGGTTGTCACAGAATGGCCTGGATTGAAAAAGGACCACAATGATCATTTCGTTTCGACCCCCCTGTTGTGTGCAGGGTCGCCGACCATCAGACCAGGCTGCCCAGAGCTGCATTATGCACATTATGTTGGAGGGATACCTCCTTACACAAGCAGGCTGCCAAATGTTGGCTGCTGGGCCGCTTTGTGGCCCCACTCCCTGCTGGGAGATCCCTTCAGGCTGTGATGGTGACTGAGCGGATCCTGAGGGCTCCCCAGGTGTGCTCTGCTGCCTTCGATCGCTGTCTGTTCTCTGGGTGATGTTCATTCTGCTTTTTTCATTCCCTGCTCTGTAGGTTTTGAGTGGCTCAAGTGCTCCTGGCCAAGGTGAAGTGCAGCAAGATGCTGTCTTGCAAGTCTCAGACGGCTCCCACTACATCCGAGTGGTCATTACAGCAGAAGCTCTGCAGGCAGAAGAAAAGTGGGTTCCATCGTGGCTCGGCCGTGGCTGGGACTGCAGCTCTGCAAAGCTGCTAGTGGGGCTCCTGCCTGGCCTTGTTTCAGGTTGTGTTAAGCTAAATCAATAACAGGGTGGGAAGTCGGTGTGAAGGAGGTGCTGCTGCTAGGCTGGAACACAGGCGTTGGTGCTGCAGATGTGGCTAGCTGGGATGTGCAGGGGTTGATGGAAACACCTTAACTGTGGTTCCTTGGGCTCTGTCAGTGCTAGCAGCCTGTCTTGGTTTCCCCATTTGGATGCGAGCCCTCTGTTTTCCAGCTGGAGCAATTGCTGGTATCGGAGGGAGGATATAAAGCAGCTCTCAGCAGCTCAGTCCCTGATGCTCATGCTGAGAAGTGTTCCGTTGTGCCCCTGTGTCGTGTAGCTGTAAGGGGAGCCCCATGGTTGGTGTGGGCGGTCTGACTTCATTCTTCGTCGACCCAGATGGTCCTGCTCTGTTCTTTTTCTAGTGCCCACATGCAGTTCATGCTTTCCAGCCTTATCTGTAGACTGATCACCTTGCAGAAGTACACACTGTGTTTCCGGGAGGAGGCCAAGCTGGTAAGTTACTCTGATGCATGGAAGTAATTTGTTCCCTAACCTTGCCTTGCTCCCTGCGTGCTTTGAGCTGCTCCCAGAGCTGCGTGATGGAGCTGGGGGTGGGTGGAGGCCGGCCTTTCTTCTCCGTGGCCCTTCAGTGCTCAGGTCCTGGCAAGCTGTGTGGTGACAGTGAAGAAGACTTGATGGCCTGAGCCCTCCATGGGGACGTGGTGCATCTCCCCTAGGGTCTGCAGTGGCCTCAGCCACCTGACTGCTTCCTCTTGCTGTTCTGGAGCTGCCAGCTCTGTGCCTGCAGGAGGCCTGCGTGGACCTCAGCCCATGGCAGAGAGCTCCCTGCCCTCCCCTTGCTCAGATTCAGGCACTTCCCCATGGCCTCAGGCTGGCTCAGCCTTGCTTACAGCCCATGAAGAGGCTGCTGCAAAAGCTAACAGCTGATGCAGAAGGTGCAAAACCCGCTGCAGGGGAGTTCAGGCTGCTCCTTGTTGAGGTTGTTAGCTGGGCTGGGGAGGTGCTCACCAGTCCTTAAGTGGGAGGGAGCAGAGCTGTGACTGCTTGCCCATCCCACATGGACTCTGTTTGCCCCAACAGGAGGATTGCGAGTTTTATCTCACCGCCCAGCGCTTCGTTGTGCTGCCCATGGAGAGGCAGAGGATGGATTCATCAAATGTGTATGTGTCAGGCTGCAGGCTGGGGGTGCTGGTCTGTGGGGCTTGAGCATTGCCCTGGAGCTGAGAAGACAGTGTTTGCCACGTAGCACTGAAGCCAGGAGCCCTTGGCACAGCAGCATGCACTGCCAGTAATGAGCTAAGAGATGTGCTGCTGTGACCTGATTGTGTTAGAGATCATTGTACTCACTGCATGAGAGAGATTTGTGTCACAGACTCTGAAGGAATGTGTGCATGGGAGGGAACGCCCCATCAGTAACTGGCTTCTCTGTTGTTCTAGGAACCAGGAGCCCTCTGTGCTACAGAAGATAAAGGAGCTCTGGCTGTAAGTATGGGGCTGGTGATTGCCAGGGAATACGTGCAGACACCACGGTGCCAGGGTGCAGGCACTGAATGTTTTTCACATGAGCTGGCAGGGGCTGGTACGTGTTTGAAGGTAGATCCTTGTGAATCTGTGGGACTCTGCCCTGGGATGTGACAGAGCTGAGCAGAGAGTGCAAAGCAGGTCACTTCCATGGGTGTGATCCCGCTGACACAGGAGCCCACCCAGCTCTCACACTGGCTTTCTCCTTGGTCACTGCAGGAGGAATCTCTCTATGGGGACCACTCCTAGCTCAGGTAAGGGTCATGAAGACCTGTGTGGCTGGGGAAAGAAAGGAAAAAGAGTTCCTGGTTGCAGAGGAAATGCAGTTTTGCATCTTTCCACAAGTTTCTGTCCCACATCAAAAAGTAAAAGCATTTGCCTGAGCTGAGGCATCTTCTCCACTAACATAGATGTGTTCTTGCTCCAGAGCCGTCCCTCTCTCAGCTGTTAGAAGTGATAGCACAGGACCAGCTTGAGGTCTTGAAGGAAAACGCTGAGGAGTGCTTGGATTTGCAGGTGCCCAAAGAGACACCCTCAGCAGAGGCAGACAAGCTCCCTGTGACCCGATGGGAGGCAGAGCTCCAGAAAGAGGTCAGTCCAAGTGTTGAGAAGTGCTTGGTGCAGAGCCAGCCCTGTGTGACCATGTGGGGCAGGGCTGTGACAGCTCGTGGCAGGGGCCCTGCTTGAGGGCTTAGAGGAGGAAAGGAGCAGGGGGCAGAAGCAGAGGTTTGTTGGGAATTGAAGCTATGCTCACCTGTGAGCGAGCTCCTGCAGCTTGAGAGGGACCACCCAGCAAAAAAAAATAAGTAATGTTTCTCATTTCAGCCACATGAAGACGTCTTCATAGTCCCAGCCAACATCCTGGTGATCCCTGCTGAGGAAGCAGTGGTTGACCGCGCTGCTTCCCAGGCAGGTCAGTGCTGTGGCATCGTTTGGTGGGTATGCAGGTCAGCAGCTCAGTGCTCAAGCATGTTGAAATAAGAGACTTTTTCCTGGTTATGGTCTGAGCACAACCCACAAACACCTAGAAAGTGGAATTTTGAAAGCTGCGGCCCCTAGAATACAGAGCACCTAAGAGCTTTGTAGGTCACAGGCCTGGTTGGCACATTCCTTCTCTTGATGTCTCACTCCCCACACTGCTGAGATACCAGAAGTCCTGTCAGCTGCCTGGGATCTCT